AGGGTTTAGGGGTTATAGGGGTTTAGGGTTTAGGGGTTTAGGGGTTTAGGGTTTAGGGGTTTAGGGGTTTAGGGTTTAGGGTGTAGGGTTTAGGGTTTAGGGGTTTAGTGTTATAGATAGGGTTTAGGGTTTAGGGTTATAGGGCATATGACAGTGACTGAAGTCGATCTCTGCAAATCCTTGGTCAGCCTAGTCTAGTCTAGCGTGCCACGACACAGACCTTGAGCGATTTGGTTTGTCGGGCTCTTGGTTCTTCCCGTGAATCTGGGAGGAGGCGCGTTCTCAGGCTCCAGGGTTTAGGGTTTAGGGTTGCGGTGTAGGGTTTAGGGTGCCCAGGCAGCACAAGGTTTGAGAGAAGTGGAACCTCTGTTTAAGATCGACATGATCACTTTCCATCGTTAAGATGCCCAACCCGTAGACCTAGCGTAGCTTGCGACTTGCAGCCAGGATATACAGGCTGCTCCCCTGCAGAACACTCCAACCCTAAACCCCTAGCCCCTAGACCCTAAACCCTAAACCCCAAACCCAAAACCCCTAAACCCTAAACCCCTAAACTCTAAAACCCCTAAAGCCTAAAACCCTAAAGCTCGCCTCTGGAAGCTTCATGCCGGTAGCCAGGAGGCCTTGCAGCAGCGCCTGGAGATGAAGAAGCCGCAGGGGTTTGGGGTTTAGGGTTTAGGGTTAAGGGTTTAGGTTTCAGGGTTCAGGGGTTTTGGGTTTGGGGTCTAGGGTCGAGGGTTTAGGGTTTTGGGTTTAGGGTTTAGGGTTTGGCGTTTGGGGCTTAAGGGTTTAGGGTTTAGGGTTTAGGGTTTCCACCTGATTAGACAGAAGCCGGCCTCAAACCACTCGAGACAGACGTCGTTGGGAGGTCCGTCCTGCAACCTGCGAAGTACAAAAAGGACACAGGGAAGGAAGGAAAGGCCCTTGTGCCGCCAACTTTCGAGTTGAAAAGGGGCGAAAAGATGCCTCACGGAGGTGTCCATCAGCGTGCTGGCAGCACTCGCCTGGGTAGCACTGAAGACCCACACACACATACTGCGAGCATATGCCAGCATCCATGTCTGTAACAGTTGAAATGCAAAAAAAGCCGGCAGACCATCATAAAAGGCCAACGTGAGGCGTCATAACCCTAAACCCTAAACCCTAAACCCTAAACCCTAAACCCTAAACCCATGACATGACCGAAACGACTCTGTAGGATTCGCTTCGCCGAGAACCGTGACGAAACACGCTCTGACCCCGGAGTGGCTGAGTGTCAGACCAGGTCTTTCCAGGCTTTGTCCACAGACAGCCGATCCCACAAAGGCCTACTTCAGGTTTAGGGTTTAGGGTTTAGGGTTTAGGGTTTAGGGTTTAGGGTTTAGGCTTCACTCTAAAAGGGATGAGAATATGTGGGCTTCAGAAAGATAGGGGTCTCTGCGCAGGGGTCTGTACAATGAGGAGCCTGTTATTCAGGGCTTACGGCGTGGGGCTTATGAGAACCGCCGCTGGTTCCTGGTTCACCGCAAAACTTCTCAATTAAGGAATGTAGCACAAGCTGTAGACGGAGCCGTAATGTGAGTCAAAGGACAATCCAAGATTAGGGGGTTGTGATCAGCCACGCGCGCAGGAAAATGGACACAATTTAAACGTTGGGTTTATTGTTTTCAGCTCAACTTTTGAAGTCATCTTTCTGGAGCAACCTGTGAGCATGCTCACACTAGCACGCTTCTGTATGTACGTGTAGCACACCCCAACAACCCAAGACCGTTGAATTATGGGGTGTGCAGAGTGTTCGTTTCTTCTGTAACCTCTTCAGTCGGACTTCCCAAAGTCGTGGACAACTTCAGGTTCGGGTGTTCAGGTATAGCAGGCAGGGTTCGGGGTCTTGTTGCAAAGCAGCAACAGTTACACGAATGCCTGCCTCAAGCACCAAAAGCTCCGGGACGGGGCTTCCAGTACTGCGTTATCACATCATCCTAACACTCATGCGGGACATCGTCACCATCATCGCTTCACTGTCTCCATATCAAGATGCTCTGGTTCATTACAAGCACGACCATCAGCATTATCGTTATCAACGTCTGCGGTTGCATAAACCAGTTCAACTATTTTTTCGCACAGTGACTCTTCGATTTTTCAGCAGAGCTACTTCCCAAAGGCCAGAATGCCTTATAGATTCTTATATTTTACCACCGTTTCGCTACTTGCGATACAAAACCCCATGCGCGGCATGTAGTCGAACTAGTACTAGTACTAGTGCTAGTACTAGTAGTAGCAGTAGCAGTAGTAGCAGTAGCAGTAGCAGTAGCAGTAGCAGTAGCAGTAACAGTCGAAGTCGCAGTCGCAGTCACAGTCGCAG